TAGGGGTTATTGCCCTAGAGTACGAAAATTGAACTTAAATGTAGCCATATAGGCTCTCCCTCCCCTCCCTAGTTCCCAAGTTTCAAAAATCTTTAAATCTCTTTCACAATTCAAAAATGAATTTTTCCCTCAACTTTTTTCACAACAAAAAATAAAACAAATCATAACACAACGACAAGCCAGATAACAGGTGGACGAACACATAAAGACCGTAGACAAAAAACGATTCTATTTCCATCACATTTGACAAAAACATTTGCTTAAATTAATGTCAAACCGCATCAACAACAAAGCAGCATTTGGTCTTCTTTTTGTTGTTGTGAATCAATTATCGGTTCTCATTTGAGCATGAAGCCAATGCTGACTGAGTGGAAAGAATGTTTAGACTTTGTGATGATCATAAAGTTGTTGCGGAATTTGAATTAATATTGGCTAATTTGTTATTTAATTATTTTGGATTATAATGATTTTTTTTGGATTTTGAAAGAGCGAAGGGGAGGGGGGGTTTCAGTTTTAAGGGTTTTAGTCTGCACTTGTTTAACATTTAATTTAAAATCATAGAAAATATGTGAATTTTTGATGACGAAACTAGTGTATCCATGGTAATGAGAAATTAGGGTTAAGGGGGGGGGGGGGGGCTGGAGCAGACAAATTAGGAATTCTTATACTCCTTCAAATTCCAAACTAATGGTCTAAGTCAAGACTCATCATTCAAAGATGAATTTCTCACAAAAAATATGAAAATTAATATTGAACGTGGTTATAAATGATAGCAGTCGATCATCATCCAATACGGGGTACACGTAAACAAACAATCATATCGTTCATAAAATTTGAATCTTATTAGACAATATTGAACACTTGCTAGTCTGTTTGAAGGCTTTTTATTGATGACATAGAGCTTTGGGGGTCGATTATAAATAATGGGAAATTTATATTGTTGAATCTAATGCTTTGCAGTTTTGGTACTCAAAATTTTTATTTTTTAGTAAAGATTTCACCACAAACGAGGGTCAAAAACCTATTTTATTAAACACCGTCATTTTAAATCTACCCCATGAGTGAGTTTTCACTAAAAAATTCAAAACTTAATCATCCAAGTCACCCCAAACATTCCCATCTAATTTTAAAAACAACAAATCTTTTTTACACTTGAATGTCTATAAATAATACCCAATATTCAACAAATTTTTCGGAGAAAACAATAAAAAGAAGCATTTTTTTGTTGTTTTGTGTGGAACGATTTTATTTTATTATTTTTGGTATATTGGAGATTAATGTCTCATCGGACCCATAAACGTCTTTTGTTTGTCAAAAGAATATTGAATAATCTGCATATTGTGTGGATATAATTAGTGATGATGGCATTAATGATGACTTGATTGTACGTTTGATGTTGAACTTTATTGTTTTGGACTTGAAGAATCGTCATTTAATGGACTTGAATGATTTAACTATTAAATCAAGATTAAGAAGTTGAATAAGAATATTTTCAAATTTTGGGGACAATAAAGGATGGCAATGGGATTAAATTGGAGCTTTTAAGACTAAATTTGAGCTAGTTAAGACTAGGGTGACCATCTAATTTTTATGAAAATACAGGACATTTGATAAATTTCCTAAAAAATACAGGACGCAAAGGAAAATTTGAAAATTAACGGAAATTTTCGTGAAAAAAATACAGGACCTGGAACAAATTTTTCAAATTTATACAGGACAGGGTTTTAAAATACAGGACTGTCCGTTGTAAAACTACGCAGATGGTCACCCTAGTTAAGACTAAAATGGAGTTTTGAAGACTATTTATAAGCTTTAAGGACACATTTGTAGCTTTAAAGACACAACTAAAGCTCAAAAGACTCGACTAAAGCTCTAAAGACTCAATTAAAGCGCCGTGGATTTAAATAAGGCTTTAAAGATGTAATTTATGTTTTGAAGGCTTGTTTCAAACTCAAGAGACTTAATTTAAGCTCAAAAGACTCTTCCAAATGCTCTGTAGACTTATTGGGAGCTCCGGAAGGCCAAGTGTAATGTACTTTTTTTTTACTCAATGTACTTTTTCTCAACTTTGAGGACTCATCTTACTTTTGGACATAAACAATCCTAGGATTTACTTTCTGCCAGATGACCATGAGCCCATTCTTCAGGAGCTCTAAGGACTCATCTTGAGCTCAAAAAATCTACTTGAATATTTGAAAGACCCATCTGAAACTCTGTAGACCTGCATAAAGCTCTAAAGACTCAATTTAAACTGTAGAGTGTCGTATAGAGCTGTAATGACTAATGTGCGACTCAATGCACCCAAAAAGAGCTCTTAAGACTCAAACAAAAACAATTTTGATATCCACAGAGCTCACAATATGCTCTGATGTCTAAAAAATAAGACATTTAGCCTTCTTTCCCTACCCTAAGCCCAAACTGACCTCCAAAATTCCCACAATAGTAAAAACAAAGCTTAAAATCCCACAAAAAAAATTATTTTACCTTCAATTTTTAGATTTTATTTTTCCCATTCGATTACAATTGAAAAAGAAGAAACAAAAGAAGAAAAAAAAAATATCGAAAAAGAAAAAAAATTATTTTCGAGACAACAGAAATTTTTTCACATTTTTCATTTTTCATTAGGCGCAAAAATGAGATTTTCAAAGATCGAACAAATTATTTCTTTTTTCGATTTTTCCTCGCTATTTATCTTTTTTTTTGCAGCCGACACTATGAAAAACGTAACAGAAAAATTTAATATGGGGGAAGGGGGGGCATTATCATCACCTTTTCACATTCGGGAAAAACTACAACAATGTCTACATAAAGACACATTTGACTACATATGTAGTGGTTCATGTTTTCTATTTTGTTACTTTGTTTTATTATTATTACATCGGTTATGTGCTGTTGCGCTGAGGAGATGATGAAGGATGTGAGAGGAAATTGATGGGATTTTGTTTTTGTGAGTTTTGTTTGCTGTTGTAGAAGGAGGAGAATTGGGAGGGGTGGGGGGGGGGGGTGGGGGTATGTGATGTAGGTGTTTGAGATTATGAGTTGGGATTGTGGTTCTTTGGGTTGATTTTTTGAGATTTTGTGGGATTTATTGTGAAGACAGTTTGAAAGATTACGATGAATTTTGGTAAAATTTGATCAAAAAAAACCTTTACCTATTCAGATCAATTGTGATCCAGAGGTGCGCTAGGGCGATTCGCAGCTAATGAGAGTTTAACGAAAGAGGATGCGCCAAACCACTGCACTCAAACCTAGACCTACAATTTATAGTGGAATCCGAACCACTACTTTGCTGACATTTCTGCCTGTAGCCTCCAAAAGAAGGCTGTGAGCCTCATTTCTAGTTCATATGATTGAAAAAGGACAAGGGAAAAATTTCTCATACCCAATCTCGAACCCATGATCGCTGTTTCGGTATTGCAATAATTAGGTACCAAAGTACTAAACCATTCCACTACCGAGCCACTTCAGCTCACAATTAGTACAAAATTTGATCAAAATCTACCAATATAAACCTGTCATAATAATTCAAAATTAATAAAAAAAAAATCTGCCAAATTTTATCAAAACTTGTTCAATTATGACTAAATCTTGTCTGTAAGACCCCTTTCCCCACTTCCTCCCTTCCAAATCTTACCAATCAATCAAAATTCATTGTTTAAACCACCAAAAATTATTAACAATTTTTCACAATTTAATTATCCCTCAAAAAAACTAATTTCTCACTAATTAATTCACATCTTACAAATTATAAGCAAATTTACAATTAGCCATCTGGTATTTTCTGCCAAATCGCCATCAATAATTTTTTCTACATCAATATATGCTCTCTTTTCCTTCACAAGTGCGAACGTAAACTCATCAAAAAAAAATGAATAATAATAGTATCAATAATAATAATGATGATGATGAGTAATGTAAGACACAAGGGAAAACATACGTCGGGAGGGAACTGGGAGAGGAAAGAAAAGAATAAAAATTTTCCATACTGGAAACTAGTTCATACCGAGCGAAAAAATTGATTTCAAAGAAAAAAATTGTAATTAATTGAGGCATCATAAATTGAATGGAATGTTTTTGCGATGAGGAAAAGTTAGAGTTGGGAGAGAATTGATTGATTGGTGGATGGATGGGGTACTTATTGATCAATGATGGAGTCTACAGAAGTGTTTTGGTCATGATGGGGGTCTATGGCAAAGTCTATATCATCAATCCCTAGCAAGACTAACTAGCAAATTGCTAGTCTTTCTATTTTACTACTTGCAATTTACTAGTAATTTTTAAAACAACTTACTATTAGAAAATTACACTCGCTATTCACTAGCAAATTACTAGCAAATTACCATGTAAAATGTTTGATCAAATCTTCTTAAGTTCGAATCCTACGAAAAATCATCAAAAAAAGAATTTTTTGCGTCAAATAAAATTTTGTTCTAAATTTGGCATTTGGCATATACTTCACAAGAGCGCGCAGAAATCACCTTTATAAGGTCGATCCAAATGTGTATGTGACTTTCAATTAATTATTTATCTTCCTCAGGTTTGCGTGCGAGTCATGGCCGTTCATCAGTGTTCGACTTAATTAAATTAAGTCTTTTGTTTTTTTTATCATAGTGTTAGTGTACTTTAATTAACTTAAACTAAGTACACACTAATACTTTTACAAAAATTTACACAAATAAGAAAAATCAAAAAAAAAACACGTGGAAATCAACGGTTATATTCATTTAAATTTTTTAAAAATTTGCTAGTAAATTACTAGTTAAATTGTAAGCGAATCGACTAGTCAATTACCAAGTGAAAATGCGGGTCTTTGGCGATGATTTGAACTTGGATTTTGACTAGTAAATAGCAAGTAGCAAATGGAAAGTTATCAAGTGAATTACTAGGAAATTACTAGTAAATTTCTGCTAGGGAATTGATTGAAATATTGCACTCAAACTTGCTAATATGTGCTGAAACCTTCCCCAAACCTCAATTTTAATAATTTTCAATCATTTCAGACCGTTCAGCATCGTTCAGTGCACGTCCCCGTGGTGATACACAATTTCAAAGACTTACACACACATCCAACAGTACTTCACAGCTTCCATCACAAGATATTTCGCAGCCAGACTTTGCAGCTGGTTCGAGTAGCACGATAACAAGTTCAGCTGGTGGATCATCGACTGGCATATCGACAACTGTGACTGGATCACCGCAGACACACATGAGTATGGAGGGTATTGGTGATCATACAAGTACACCGAATGAGGGTAAGAGGGGCAAACAAAAGTCATCGCAGCCAAATGCGAGAAGTGAATCGTATAAGGAATGTTCACCGAAAAGGAGTCGAACTAATCGACCGAAGTCGGATCCGAGTCTCTATGAGTAAGTACTTTATGCTCTATTTTGCTTCAATTTCTAACATAATAACTCTAAATCCTCCAGAGATGACGTCGCATCTCCACTAGAACGTCCAGAAGACTCAATGAACTCATCATCAGCCACAATAACGCCAAATAAACCAATGCCAGGTACAAGTCTTGACACATCGTCTTCGTCGTCAGAAGATGAGTCGTTTTCGAGAGACCTTGAGACCACATGGAGCTCTAATGTGACACAAGAGATAATACAGCAGCTGACGGAAGCTGAGAAGAAGCGACAGGAGATCATCAATGGTGAGTTTAGGATTTAAATTGTTTAACTGAAAAAATCTGCTGAAATTCTGAAAAAATTCTCACAAAATCTACCAAGTTTCTGGGTTTTGTCCGGAATTCTAGCAGATTTTGTCGGAATTCTACCGGATTTTTGTCAAAATTTCTGTAACCATAAAATATTTTATTTTCTCAAATTCCAGAACTTTTTGAAACGGAAAAGAGTCATGTGAAGATTCTAAAAGTACTTCAAAATGTATTTAAAGAACCTTTGGAACAAAGCAAGGCAATGACAAGTGAGCTGATACAACTTGTATTTCCGCCATCACTATCCATACTCAAGGACTGGCATTTTGCATTTGAAGCGGCATTAAAGCAGAGATGGAAGGAGCATAATTGCTTAGTAAGAGAGATTGGTGATTGTCTTAATGTGGTAAGTTGTTCACTGTCCTCAAAGCTAGTTCCTCCTTTAACCTACAATTTTAAAATTCCAGTTCGATGGTACATCAGGTGAAATTCTCAAGGATCATGCAGCACGGTTTTGTGCACGTCAGCAAATAGCTTTAGAAGTTCTTAAAGAACGTCGAAAAAAGGATGAGAATCTACAACGTGGTCTTATAAAGGCTGAATCTCACAAGGCATGTCGACGGTTACAGTTGAAAGATTTATTACCGTCAGTTTTACAACGACTCACAAAATATCCACTACTCTTCGAGAGACTACAGAAGTGTACTGATGGTGCTGATGCAGAGGCAATAAAACGAGCATTGGATGCTTCGAAAGCAATTTTGGATCATGTTAATCAGGCAGTACGGATAGCTGAAGAGTAAGTTGATAGTTTTTGCATGAACTGAAGATCTGGGATAGGTTTAGGTGATCTTAACTAGATTTGGTAGAGCCAGGCAAGGTTTAGTAGAGACAAATTAGGTTTAGGAGAATCAAACTTGACTTAGTAAAGCCAAACTAGGTTTAGTAAAGTCAAACAAGGTTTAGATGATCTTAATTAAATTAAGTAGAGTCAAACTAGGTTTGGTAGAGTCGAACTAGGTTTGGTAGAGTCGAACTAGGTTTGGTAGAGTCGAACTAGGTTTAGTAAAGTCAAAAAAGGTTTAGCAGAATCAAAATAGGCTAAATAGATCCTATCTAGGCTAGATAGAGCCCAACAAGGCAATCGATATCCTATCTTGACTAAAGAAGTATCAAATCGTTTAACTAATTATTAATTCAATCCAATTTTAGACTCCGATCAATCCAGAAGAAGCTCGACAAGTCATCCTATGAGAAGGAAGCCCCAAATGAATTTAAAAATCTCGACCTTACCAACTACAAACTCATCCACGATGGATTCCTAACCATCAAAAAAGGAACCATTCAACTTCGCGTTCTTCTCTTTGAGAACATGATTGTCCTACTTGTGAAGCAGGACGATAAATATTTGATGAAATCATTCGCAAATCCAACTGGAATTGGTGATAATGTCATGGTCAGTCCGATCACGAAAATCTGCAATACAATTGTGAGACTCAATGCCGTCGACAATCGTGCATTCTTTCTTATCAATCAAAGTGATCAGAACTCACAAATGTTGGAACTGACAGCACCGACACAACAAGAAAGTGAAGTTTGGATACGAAAAATCACCGAAGCAGCTGAGAAAGCAAATCACTTGAAGAAAGTTCAGTCAAAACCGTTGCCAGCAATTCCAGTTCCACCACCACCACCTGCACTTGAAGAAACACCTGAAAATCTTCTCAATTCACCACCAGATGAGGTTGAGAAGCCACCGGAAACGACTGAGCAGGAGCCAAAAGAGGAAAGTGAAGAGAATAAGGAACCGGAAGAGGAACCAGAGCCTGAAGATGACCCAAATGCCATACAAACAACCCAACCTTGCCAATTAATACAACCAACAGAAATCAATATTGCAGCACAGAACGTACAAGAAGCATCGCGAATAGTCACACCGGAAGAGTCACTGCGACGACACGGTGACGTCATTCAAAAGTCTGTCGTTGAAATGGAGAAAATAATTTGTGACATAAATCGAGTGCCTCAAGAGCATTTTACTGAAATTGCTGACATTGCAGCACAGCCGGAGGCAAAATCAGATCTTGCTGAACTCGCATTAGCTGCATTTGCACAGACTAAATTCCTTGTTGAATGCGTAAAGACGTCACTAATTAATGGAACTGTAAATGCACCAATTGGAAGTCTTAGCGGTGCTGCACTTTGTGACAATTGTGTTACAAAGGACTTATTTGCCATCCGTAATGGATCAACTGAGAATCTTATTGCAATTGAGCCAGCCACAATGGACACAGATATTGTTAAGGACAGCGAACTTGAAACTGACGGTGATAATTTATATTGTGAAATTGAGCCACTTAAAAATGAGACAGCTATTGCAACAAAAGTTAGTCATATGGAGATTAATGATACTTATAGTACTGCAGTCGATAGTGAAGCTAAAAAGAGTCCAATTATTAAGATTGATAAGATCGCAGTGTCTGTAACGACTTTGAATTCACTCGTGTCACAGTTGTCGGTAAGTAAATTAGACATTTTAGATGGATTTAGAAGATTGAAGGTCAAATTAGGTTTTGATGAAGACGTTAGGACTGTTATGAAGCTTATATTGAAGTTCAGAGTCGGGTCTTGGTCAGGATCAGGTCATTTACTTCAAAACCTAATCATTTGACTAATTGTCATTAATCCTTACCCAAATGAATTATACAAGATACCTAATAAGATAATTCTGTTTACTTTTTAGATAAAAATTGCAGAACGGGATCACGAACGTGAAATGTACAGACGTGAAAATCAAAGGCTTAGACAACAACTCCAAATTGAACAGGAGAATGAAATTGTTGAAAATGCTGTAAATGTAAGTATGAATTATTAGGCTTTGTGTCTTATAAATTTAGAACCTTATCAATCTAGTTCCTTTGTAGTCTAGTATCTAAATATTCTAGTACCTTAACAATCTAGTTCATTTTGAGTCCAGTGTCTAAATCTTCTAGGACCTTAGTAATCCGGTACTATAATTTAACTAGGATTAGTGAGGTACCAGATTACTGAGGTACTAGATTACTAGAGTACTAGATTACTAAGGTATTAGATTATTATGGTACTAAATTATGAATGTACTAGATTATTGTGACCCTAATTTACTAAGGTCCTAGATTACTGCGGTACTATATTACTCAGGTGCTAGATTACTGACGTACTAGATTACTCGGGTGCTAGATTACTTAATTTAATATCTTGAAAAAAAAATTCTAATCTCAATTTTCTCTCAAATCTCTTTTTAGGACCTAGAAATAAATGTGATTGAATTATGTGACAAACCCCCAATAGAGCCCGAGCAATAAGATGGACCATCATCATACATCAAAAATTAAACATCATTAAAGCTTTGTTAAGCATCAGCACAAAATATTGTTTAGCTGATTTAAACCTTAGTTATTTTTCTTGACGCACAAAAAAAATTATTCGAAAGATTTTTTCATTTTTTTTAAATTAAATTAAAAAAAATTGGAGATCGCAGGAAGCGATGCAAAAAAATCCACAAAAAATGGAACTAGACTTACTGTGAAAAATGATGCGTAACAAACAAGAAATTGTGTTAAGTGTAATACTTAGAGCATTAAATAGATTATTTTCTCGAGAACTTATTTATATTTAGGCTATAATAAATTGAGAATCTTCCTGATCTGCTTCTTACTTAGAGACATGAGCCGTGCAGAGCGCGGTTTAACACTTTTTTTATCGAAAGGAATTTTTGAAAAAAAAAAAAAAAATTTTGGAGAATAAATAATTTTAAAAGGAGAAATTGAATATTTTTTTGGGGAAGAGGATGCTCGATGGATATACACTACCTTAAAAGGTATAATGAGCAGTCGTTTCTAGATGTTGTGAGGATACTCAGGTTTTAGTAGTCTGAACCAATGTTCAAATACAAAAATATGCAATAAATCACAAAACTTAGCACTAAATCCAATTTAATACTGTCACAAACCCAACCTAGATGCCAAAAATACTGAAAAATCTTCCACTTTTGAAGCTACAATCCCTGAATATCTTCACAATGCCTGACATGCCCCTCCACGAACTTTGGATAGAAATCAAACTTTAAAAAAATTATCAAAATTTTTCTAGAAACAATAAAAAATTAAATTTGAGATTTTTGGAACCTAACTGGGGTACTAGACTTGTTGGCAGTTAGCACTAATGGATGCAATATTTACAAATGGTCCAAAATTTTATAATACACGATAGTGTAACATTAGACTCACGTAGAGCAGTATTACAGTTTACAAATCGGCCTAAACACTAGAATTTAAAATGTTTTAAAAATATTGAACTTTCAAAAAATATGAAATTTTTGTTTAAAATTAAAATAAAACTATTAGTCACTTTTTTAGATTTCAAATATTTTTCTTTAATTTTTTGAACACGTTTTTATGTTTTTAAAACCAATAAAATTAATTTTGTAGGCTTTAAAATTAAAACAATTGTTTTTTTGATTTTCGGAATTTATAAAGTATTTTTAAACCTTAAAAAATCAAGATAATTTTAATTAATTTAAAGAACTTTTTACCTTCTTTTTAATTTTGAAAGTTTAAAGTTTTAATTTTGTATTGATAAACTTTATTTAAATTTTTCAATATTAAAACCATCTTTTGATAGAAATCATAGTTAAATTTTTGAAATAAAGTTAAATTTTTGTGCAATTATGAAATTTAAAATGAGTACAGATTAAAAATAACATTTTAATATTAAAAAATATTGAATTTAAATAAAATTAAATCTAGTGCTAACTTCCAACAAGTCAATCAGAACATTTTTAAAACCTTTTTCTACAAAACCTTTACAATAATCTTCAAAATTCAATTAAAAAACGTTTAAAAACCTAAGTGAAAAAATCTAGAAGTTTCGTGAAAAAAAAATAAATTAAAACAAAAATCAAGAATGAGAAAAATAACTTAAATGTGCCTTAGTGCGTAAAATATCAAATAAAATGAGAATAAAATAAAATTCGATGAGTAATGTCACATTTGTCATTTGCCAAGAACATATTAATTGTAGTAACGAAAATATATCCAATGCCTATTAAAAAATTTTTAAATAAAATTTGTGAATAGAAAATTTTTGATGTTCATATTTTTTGGAATTTTTTGAAAGAATTTTGAACTTTTTAAAAAAAATTGAATTTTTGACAATTTGAAAACCAAAAAGTTCAAAAAATTCCAAAAGGTGAAAACCACGAAGAATAAAATCAAATAAAAGCAAAACATTAGTGCGCTTATCGCTGAAGACTTTTCCTTTTTAAGGACATTTGTATTTTGATAAAAGAAAATTAAATTAAAACTTTGTGAAAAAAAAAACTTTTTTAAAAATCTCACAAAAATGAGAAGAAATAAGAAAATCACCGAGAATTTTAAAAAAAACTTTAGAATTTTCAAATGTTTAATATTTAAATAAAATTAAAGTTTTTTGAAACAATTTGAAAAATTTGAATTTTTAAAATATTTGGAATTTTTTAAATTGTTTTGAAAAAATTTGAATTTTTTTAAAAACTTTTGAAATGTTTGAATTTTTTTAAAAATTTGTTATTTTTTGGAAAAATTGAATTTACTAAAATTTTTGAAATATTAATAAATTTTATAAAATCAATGGTTTCAAAAATTGCAAAAAATAAGAAACTTTGTGAGACAAAAACTGAAAAAACTTAAAAAAATGTGCTAAATTTAACGGAAAATATTCAAAAATTTCCTTTCGAACGGAATAGTATTATTCCCAAAAACAATAATATTGCTTTCCCTTCCAATTTAACATTTATTAATATACACAAGATGAAAAAAAAAATAAAATTATATATAAATAAAATAAATGTATATCGATATAAAAATAAATTAATAAGATACTGAAATAAAAAGTTATTAAGAAAAAAATGTGTCTTAAAATATTTTTGAATTAGAAAAATAAATAAAAAAACAACTTTTTGTGAAAACATAAAAAAATGGACGAAAAAAAATTTAAAATGTCTCTGAAATAAATGAAAAATCACAGCTTTGACAGAAAATATTGAATTTTAATTTTTTATTTCATTTCTTTTATAGATTTTTAATATTTTTGTGATAATATAAAATATTTTATTGAATTGTAAGAACATTTGTGAATTATTTTTTGTTTTTAATACTTTTTTAGGCACTGATAATTATGGACGTAGCCAGAATGGCGATACAACGTCCCTAGTTAAGTAAAGGTTAATTGATAATTGTGTACTCATTTGAATTTTAAAAAAAATGTGGCATCAACAAGTCAGACCTTAAAAAAATCCCACTTTTTCTGGCCGCGCTCTGTGTTCTTATCATGTTCTTGATCTTCCTCAATATTTAAAGTTTGGATTATTAAATTATTAATAAAAAATAAACTTTAAGTTTCATATTCTTTGCAGTCAATTGCTAGTTTAGGCTGCTGCGATGTCACTGATTAGAATTTCTGGTGGATTGTAGAATGTTCTGGCTGATCGAGCTGTAAAATTAATTCAAAAATTAGTCATTATTTTGGAATATAACAAGTCATTCAACTTACAATTGTCATAATAGTCATAAATGATGATTGGTGCTGGCTTTTGCTTAGCAACTGCATGCGTCCTGTAAGCTTTAAACTCTGGAACAATTTCATCAGCTCCGATATCATCAAAGTAGACCATTATGATGGTGTCGCCGTCTTTCGTCTCCACTTTCTGAAATTTTTAATAGATTTTTGTCAATATTTTTTGATTTTGACTATTTTTTCACTTTTATAGCTGGTTTTGAGACTTAACCCTAATCTTTTATCTACAACTTCTCCTTACAAGCAACTGTTAGATCTTGAAGCAGCAATAAGGATGGTTTTGGTCAAAAAACAATTCTCAGAAGCCAAACCAGTTGATCGTCAGACAAACTAGCCCCCCAACCATCCATGAAGTTCCCATAACATGACCAACAACTCTTCCACATACCTTCAGCCCAACTAAACTCACCTTAACCTTTGTTGTAGCCAACAGCTCACTCATATGATCATTGTCAAAAGTAAATCCACTTGGCAATGTGACTTCCATGACTGCCATATTAGATGTAGCAGTCTGTGCATCAGGAACGAATTTGGCACCAACGCTGATGTGCAAAAATCCTTTGTTTGACGTTGACATGACAACTGGATTCAAAATGAACCTTGGGGACTGTCCAGAGATGTCTAAGTTGTATCTGTAAGAGATTTGAAGAATACTGAAGCCTTTACCAGTTGCTGAGACTTCAAAATGACGAGCTTCTGACGATATTTCATGCTTTTGAAGGACCAAAGAGTTTGCAGAGTTGACATTGATTGTTGATGGAATTGAATCTTTAGGTTTGACGACAATCTGAAGATCAGAATCAGCGACATGAACCTTCATAGCCAATTTTGACAAAGCTTGAAGACCAACGACTGTGTCTTGTGTTGACTGGAATCCTCCATTTGCATTTCTTTGAGTCACAAGCCATTTCATGATCAGAACTGCATCGTTAGTCTTGTCAGCTTCTAAAAATGCTTGTAATGCATAAGCAGACATCTCAACATTGACTGAACTTGGTCTATGGTACCAGCAGTCCCTTTCCTTGGGTTTCTCAATTTCTTTACTCCAGTGCTTCATTCCATCTTTGTTGACTGACTTTGTGTTAAGTTTCTCCAATAAGACATCCTTTTTGTCATTTCCAGAAAGTTGTAAGGCATAGTTGACAATAGCCAATGAATAATTGTCATCCAAGGTCTCTAAATTATCAAAAATATAATTTTGTGCATTCTTAATGACATCCTCAAACTTCTTAGCCAACGGTTTATTTTCCAAGAATGTAATCAATGTGTATGCAGTCAATCCCATTCCCTTTGAAGCACCACCTTGCATGTCTCTGTGACAGATTGTTCCGACTTCTGGGAAACTTCCGTCTTTAGCTTGAACACTTTTTAGGAAATTCAACGCTTCCAAAATTTTATTTTGATCAATTTTGATGTACTTTGATGCTTGGCTGAATGACTTAGCTACAAATGCTGTCAACCAAGTGGAACCTGATTTATCATGCATTCCAAATGCACTGTAGGAACCATCGTCATGTTTATAGGTCAATTCCTTTTGGTATCCAACTTCCATGTACTTTTTGGCTTTCTCTTCGATTTGTGGGTTTAGTTTGTTGAGGTTTGTTAAGTATTCAAGGATGACAATGTTAGGAACAAAGTTCAGCATGTTTTGTTCACCGCAGCCGTAAGGGAGTTTACTGGAAGGGAAATAAAATAGTTAAATGTTAGCAAAAATGACAAATTCATGGTCCGAGATGACCGAATCTTAAACAAGGTGACCAAATCTTAACCAAGATGACCGAATCTTAACCAAGATGATCGAACTAAAGCACACTTTACTTAATACTTACATCAACTTATCCAAATTATCAATCGATGGTCCCAAGATGTCACCAATTGCAGATACTTCAACTCTAGTTGAATCCTTAACTGCTTCTGGTGGAACTAAGATTTCAATTGTCCTTTTGAACTCCTTCTCACTTCTTAGATCAATCAACACAGCTTCATTCATGTACTGGGTCACACCTTCAGGCTCAACTTTCAGTTTCTTTTCAATTCCGTCACCAGCCATCTGTGACTCAGCAACCACTTTTATTGTTATCTGTCCAACCTTAAGTGGACGAATCATAAATGAAACTGTTGCGCCTTCGTCTGATTTCAGGACAATTTCTTGTTTTCTTTCAGTTTCAGTTGTGAGCTTCTGCTTCTTTACTGCATTTTCTTCCTCGTCGGGATTGATGAACTCAAACTCAGCATCAGCATTGAACATAGTCACTGTTGTGGTCTGGTCGCTATCCAAGTAATTAAATATGATGATTGGGACTGACACAACCTCACCACGTTTGATTGAGTATGGTAAGTTGGTATCGACAATGAATGGCTGAAAAACTCTCAATTTTGATGCTGAGTCAGTTATTCCCAAGCCACGTATTGGATCTAGTGAGAATCCAGTAATTATCCAAGATGTTATTGTGTCCGGAACTTTCTTGGTTAAGGACTTTGTGTCGCTGTAGGATGAAAGTACAAGAAACTTAATTGATTTATCCAAATTACTATAGATTGGATGAACTTACCCAGAATCAAACTCCAAACTGTCAAACAACCAAGTTTCAGGGAACTTCTTGCGAATTTCAACCGGTTTACGTTCAACAATGCTTCCACCTCCAACCATAGGTGCAGCATCCATCATCATGTCATTCATTATCTTCGGAGCACTACGCTTTGACATTGCCATAAATCTCACTCTTTCTTCACCAACGCCAAATGCCATTGCTCGAGGAGCCAAACTGTTTCGGGACTCACATTGGTATGTACGAACTCGGGGCTCTAAATGATGTAATTAGTATCTAATGTCTGGTTTATAAGTCTACAAACTATTTACTTTTCTTACCCTGAGCGACTTTTGTATTCGTGATCATGATCATTTCACGGAAGTCGCCGATGTCATGTCCACTATAGTAATGTGAATAATTGTACTTCTGTGCTTCACCAAACTTCTTCAATTCATCAAAAACGGTTTCTTGTTCGATGTCATTGCCTTTTTTGAGCAACAAGACACTCTGGTCGACTCCCAAGAGCCCAACGTAAGAGTTTGGTTGGCTCTTGACGTTTATGATGAGATCTTCGCCTGGTTTTACTTGTTCGGCTGATAAATTGAGGTTTATCTAGGATATAAAGACAGATTTTATGTCAGGCAATTGTAAGAGCAACGTCTGACTTTTATTTGGGTACAAAACTTACATGATTCAACAACTGATTGCCAAACTCAACATCAATCTTGTCTGAAATAATTTCGCCATTTTCGGCAACATAATAAATCACAACAGAAGCTTTTGGAAGCATGAATAAAGTTGGTTTGATGTTCACGATGTGATCGATGGATTCCTTGAACTTTTCATAATTGGATTCCAAAATTTTTCCACCTGCAAGAACCTGGTAGGTTAGTTCTTTGATCATATTTGTGGCTTGGACTTTGATATTGAATGGTTTTAGTAGATTTGGTCTAAAAATGGCAAAAAAATTGTGGTTTTAAAAGTTAAATTGATTGTAAAATGTTTTAAAAACTTACCTTTCTGTCAATAACTTGCCCTGAAGATACTGACGACACATGGATTCGACTTTCTGGACACGAGAGGTGTCTTGTTCAATGCCAAGGTATTTTGCCTGGAATATTTTGGATTAAAGTTTAGGTTTTGGTCATTATTGTAATTATTGAGGTAACAAAGAACCAAGAACCAAGGACCAAGAACCAAGAACCAAGAACCAAAATCCGAGAATCAAGAACTAAGGAAACAAGAACCAAGAACCAAGAACCATGGACCAAGGACCAATAAACAAGAACCAAGAACCAAGAACCAAGAACCAAGAACCAAGAACCAAGAACCAAGAACCAAAAACCAAGAACCAAGAACCAAGAACCAAGAACTAAGGAACCAGGAACCAAGAACCAAGAACCAAGAAACAAGAACCAAGAACCAAAAACCAAGAACCAAGAACCAAGAGCCAAGGACTAAGAACCAAGGACCAAGAACCAAGAACCAATAAGCAAGAACCAAAAACCAAGAACCAAAAACCAAGAACCAAGAACCAAGAACTAAGGAACCGGGAACCAGGAACCAAGAACCAAGAACCAAGAACCAAGAACCAAGAAATAAGAACGAGGAACCAGGAACCAAGAACCATCTTCAATATCCTCACCTCAACACTAAAAGACGTCGTTTCCTTCGGAACATCGATGTCAAGTTTAGCAATTCCATTTTCAAGTGGAACTTTGTACTCTTGTGTTTTTGAGTTCTCCTCCCAGCACTCATATTCGTCACCAGGGTTCACACGACGTCCACAAATGTTCTCTTGATGAATTGATTTAATCTTTCTCAGAATGTCATAATAAGAAGTGACTGTGAACTTGACTGGATTTTTTGGATCAATGACTGGCGTGCTTTTGTCATGAGAACTTAAAATTGCCGTGACTGTAAATGGAAGTCCCGGTTTGAATTTTTCAGAACTTTTCTTCAATACCATTTTGATTGCATCGCTGTGTATTTTTACTGTCGCATTTGCCGTTGCAACTTTACTACTCAATTCATCCTTAAATGATGCATGAAGCTTGACTGTATGCTCATTTTTGGAGTCACGGATGTTAAGTTCACTTTTAAGGTCAAATTCGACGAATTTTTTGCGATCAACTTCGACAGTTTTTGAAACTTTCTTGGTCGGCTCGACAGTTCGGAATCGATAGTTCCCGTATGGACTCTCAACTTCTGCCGTCACGGTTGCTTTTCCTTTTGCGATTTTACCAAAAGTGTATTTTGCATTGACTGTAGCTTTAATGACTCCATCTTTAAAAGGCACATTTGGGACAGTGTCGATTGAGACTTCGAATTTAGGCAAGACATACTCTTCAACATCAAATGTCTTTTCAATGTCCTGATCGTTGTTGATCTTAACATGAATCTTCCAGACTCCCATGACTGGCAAGTCCGAAAGTTGCAATTCATTTTGATAAACTCCTTTGATGAAATTTTTACCAACTTCTTCATACTGCTTAATCCTGTTGTCACCACCGTCAGTGACATAAATGTCAATCTTATCGAAATTATAAGGTCTAGTCTCAGCATCAAGGACCATGACTCTGAATTTGATGTTGTCTGATGGCTTGTAGACACTCTTGTCAGTTTGAACGAATACTGCGTACTTTTTCAGGTTCATGTGGAGGCAGCGAGTCTGGTCGAAGTACTCACCAGATAGACTTGAAACTTTGAGGTTGTATTCACCTTCTGGTGGGTTGTTGATCTGGATTTTAAAGGAGTTTGGACGAAAAATTGGTCAAAATTCTATAAAAAATACTGTTTTTTAAAATTCTAACCTTAAAATCCACATTCTGAACTTTAGTTCCAGACAAAGTGACTCGTTCTTTCATCTCAAAATCCTCTTCTGTAGATTTAATGACAATCTCAATCTCATCCTTCTTCTTTTCATATCCATAAGAGTAAACAGCGACTCGAAAATTGCCGATCGACGGCAAAACATTCCCAGCAACTAGAACAAAGTATCCGTTTGATGAGCCGAATGACTGGCTGTAAGTTGGGACATCGTCATCATCATCTAAAAAATAAATGAGAATTTATCAGAGTGATTAAAAGTGGTTTGTTATCTCAATTTTCCGAAAGATATGACTAAGCAATGAGAAATCGCATATAAAGTTTCAGATTATTTTATTACTGCATTGAAGAAACTCAGCACTTAGTTATTTTTCGATAATATATGCAAACGTTTACAAAAAAGCTTAAAAAATCATAAATCACACTAAGTATTGATAAGAAATTTACATCAGTGGTGGCTATGTGCAGTGGCAATATGGCACAATTTGAGCAAATTTTTAAACCCACTATGGGTGCAAAATGGATTTGAATAAACTATAGGTTCACTTGTCCCTCAATTAAACTACTGGTTGGCTGTTTGTCCAGGCCATTAAACTTCAATAGCCCTGACTAATATAGAACCCCAGACTAATTTAGACCCTCTGACTTGCTTAGAACCGCTGATTTATCAAGAACCCCTGACTTCTCCAGAACCCCTGACTTTTCAAGAACCCTTGACTTTTCAAGAACCTCTGACTTCTCAAGAACCCCTGACTTCTCAAGAAAGCCTGATTTATCCAGAACCCCTGACTTCTCAAGAACCTCTGACTTCTCAAGAACCCCTGACTTCTCAAGAAAGCCTGATTTATCCAGAACCCCTGACTTCTCAAGAACCTCTGATGTATCTAGAATCCCTGGCCAATATAGAACCCCTGACTAATTCAGAACCCCTGATTTATCTAGAACCCTTAATTTTTCAGAACCTCTGACTTCTTAAGAACCCTTGATTTATCCGGAATCCCTGGTCAATATAGAACCCCTGACTTCTCCAGAACCCCTGATTTTTCATGAACCCCTGACTTTTTAAGAACCCCTGACTTTTCAAGAACCCCTGAATTCTCAAGAACCCTTGATTTATCTGGAAATACCTGGCCAATCCAGAATTCCTGACTTCTCAAGAACCCCTGATTTATCCAGAACCCCTGACTTCTCGAGAACCACTGATTTATCCAGATTTCCTGGGCAATATAGAACCCCTGACTAATTAAGAACTCCTGATTTATCAAGAACCCCTGACTTTCCAGAGCCTCTGATTTATCTGGAACCCTGGCCAATATGGAGCCCCTGACTAATTTAGAACCTCAATCTAAAATCATCAGTCTGTATGAAATATAACATAAGTTATTGAAGAAACATTAAGACTTCTTCTTTGTTGGTTTTTGACTATAAATAGTGTTGGTAAGCTTGTTGGTGCTATGTTTGTTCAAATAACTACATTGTTGTAAAAAGTTAACGCTTATCTTACATTTATTACCGTTCACATTCATGAGTTTCAAGCCATAAATTCCAAGTAAAGTGCTTTATAAATTTCTGTCGCACAATAATCTAGTCTCAAAAATTCAAAAAATTTGACCATCGTCAAGCAATATGCGAAAATCAATCAAATCATCAGAGGAAATCCAAAACCAATGTGTGTATTTTTAGAGAATTTTTACAGATTTTTCTTATTTTCTTCGCATTTCCAATGGCAAAGTACCAAGTCTATGTTATTTACGAACTGACTGTAAGCAGAGATGATTTGGAAATTTGTAATCAGTTGTGTTGGTAATTTTGGCTGAATTGAGGTTTAATTTACATCAAATTATACAAAATAGCGACTTGAATTTCATAAATTTGTGAAAATTTTAGATTGACACTACTGATATTGATCAGTAGCTAATTTCAAGTAGTTTTTGAAGTTGATGGTGATGAATGACATTTAACAAGGGTTGTTAAGATGACTAAGAGTCGAAAAACAATTGTTTTGAGATTAAAATTAATGAAATAAGCAAAATATAATGACTAAGTTTCTGATAAATCTGATGACAGCCTTAAAAAGCAACAACCACTCATCAATCCATGACTAAACATTACAAGCTTTTTGAATTGTTCTTCATTCTTCACCAAATTAGAATTAATTTTCTATTAAAACTCTTAAAAGTGCTAAAAAGTAGCTTTGTGTGTTCTAAGAAAATTAATTAAAACATTTCAAGGTCAATTTTATTTCACAATTTCAGTCAATTCAGCAGTTCCATGAACCTTTTATTATGATAATCATAAATTAATTAATGTAATGTACTTACCGCTACTATATTCTCCAGCTCTATCCATTTTAAGATGATTTTTTTTATTCCAAAATTTGACTATTAACAACAAAATTTAATGAATCACAGAAAAAAATTATTTTTTTTTCTTTTAGATCTGAAGCTATTGCGTGTTTACAATAACAGGCTTAATACAGAACTGAAAATAAAAAATAACCGGCAAGTTTTTGTCTGTGTGTGAAATAAAAACAACGCAGTAAAATGAGAATTTCTCTGTTTATTTTAAAAGAGTGTGAGAGAAATGTTATCGATGTTATGGAGCTTGATTGTTATATCTCTGAAAATAACGGCCATTTTAAATTAAATCTAGTTTAAAGAACGCTTTGTGTAAAAAAAAACTTTACCTATTCAGATCAATAGTGATCCAGATGTGCGCTAGGGCGTTTCGCAGCTAATAAGAGTTTAACGAGTGAGGATGCGCCAAACCACTGCACTCAAACCTAGACCTACAATTTATAGTGGGATCCGAACCACTCCTTTGATGACATTTCTGTCTGTAGCCTACAAAGGAAGGCTGTGAGCCTCATTTCCAGTACATATGATTTGAAAAAGGACAAGTGAAAAATTTCTCATGCCCAGTCTCGAACCCATGATCGCTGTGTCACTATTGCAATAATTAGGTACCGAAGGACTACACAGAAATCAATTACCCGAGTATCCTTGATTAGAATTGATCTGATTTGAACTGGAGTTTTTTTTCTGGAATGCAACAACTACGTTAAAGACCAGGCGCATAGCCAAGGAGGGGGGTGGGGTGGAGGGGAATCTTGAGAAATTCCTTCATTTTGCTAGAGCTTTTATGAAAAACTCAAAACAATCCCCCCTTCCCCCCCTAAAAGTTTTCCATACAAAAAATAAATTTGTCCCTCCTTCTCCAAATTCCTGGCAACCCCCCTGTTAAGGACACCCTGAATCCATCATTAGTGCATTCTTAATTCAGACATGGATTTTTGCATAGTTTGTCCATCGGTTTTTGCCTGTTTTTGGTCGAAAAGCATAACGTGCCTCGATGGCAGCTCTGAAAAGGCGTTAGAGATCAAATTTTCAAGAAAAATAGGTTATAAAAAGTGAGGCATTAAGGATTTTAATCAGGAGTTTGTTTAAAAAAGTGTGATTGTGCTGCTTAAAAAAGGGCAGAAAGCCTTTTTACTTACTTGCTTGGCTGGGGCGCACGTGAGCCCGTTGCCGCGCTTAGAGATCGTCTGAAGACAGCTCTATATTAAGGATATTAAGGACTCTAGCGTCTTTTTCAACACATCCAATCCACGAGATCTTCTTCTTGATCTCTTGCCATCCATAAAGTTTTTTTTTTTCATTTTAATTGCACTTTATTGCATTTATTGACGACATACTGTCCGGAAATAATTCACATTTTACACTTTTGTATTTGTATACATATGAATTAGTATTATGTAGGATCAAACTTCTAATCTTCATATCTAGGTTTCAAATAAACTAAGGCTCTCGTTTCGATCTTCTGTAGGCGTTACGTGATACTTTTCAGGTCCGTTCTATCAATATTCCATTCGTGGGTAATCTTGTAGCTCTCGTTCCTATTTCTCCCGCTACACTTCAAGTTCCTGACCCGTTCCTTAATCCAACGTTGCCCAAATGCCCAATTATGGCTTGATCTCGTACATTAAGCAGTCGAAGTATCTAAACTTCCGAAAAAGAACAAATTTGGAAATGGCTGGATTCGAACCGACGACCTTCGAGTTACCATCCCAAATTTGAGCCAAGCGCCTTACCTATTCGACCAGCAAGGCACTTAACTGCTTAATATCCCGAACTGGCAAAAAGTCTCGAAGGATAAGGCTGCCTTTAGTTGATCTCTGAACGCGGCAATGGGCCTACGTGCGCCCCAGCCAAGAAAGTAGAAAGTAAGTAAGAAACCGTTACATGAGAAACTGTGCCGAAATGAGCTGAGATTTGAAGGTTCAGTGGCTGTTCCTGAAAAGGGAGAATTGCGATTTAATGGTTTTGAGATTCGGGAATCAACCAAGTTCAAAGGAATTAAACGTTAAAAATTTCAAGAACAAAACTTAATCATTTTATTTTAAATTTCTTTACATCACTAACATCTCCACATGTTTCCTTTTAAACATTCTGTCCACTTGCCTCCATCAGCTCCTCAAACTCCTTCAATTCCTTATTATCTCTCTTATAGAATGGCTTAAACAACTTGTCATATTCCTCTGGATGATACTTTTTCTCATGATTCCTCCAATTTGCTTCCGACCGGAACTGCCTGTCACAACCAGAAACTCGACAAGCAAATAGGAATTCTCTTGTGTGTCTTACTGCCACATGTTCCTGCAACTTTAATTGTTTGAAAAATCCTTTGTCACAGTATTGACATTTAAACTTGTAGTCACTGCCATGCGCCATTTTCATATGTGACGTAATTGAGTATTTTGACTTGAGGAACTTCCCGCAGACATTGCAATTGATTCCCATGTCATTGTGCTTCTGTAAGTGATTCTTCATGGTTGTTTCAAGAACCCAAACATTACAAATTTCACATTGAATCCTTTCACGATGTTGATCGCCATGGACTGTCTTCAAATGAGCTGGAAGGTACGATTCTCGGATGTTAGCTGAACATATGTGACAGACAGTCATTCGGTTCTGTTTATTGACTGTGTGCTGGTTCCTCATATGTGTTTTTATTTGTATCATTGTCTTGAATTGCTTTCCATCCTTGCAGATGTAACATTCGAATATTCTGGACGTGTCAATGTTGTGGAATGCCATATGATTCTTGAGGAGATGTTCATTGTTAAAGAACTTGCCGCACTCATCGCAAATGACTTTATTAGCTTCATCGGTTGGATGGTAGTTCTCCATGTGAGTCTTCAGACATTTCTTAGTTTTATAAGTTTTATTGCAAGTTTCACAAGCGAAAATGACAGTCTTGTCGTGGTACTCGAGATGCTCAACAAGCTCAAAACGTCGTCGAAACTTCCGTTCGCAGCAAGCTAAGTAGAACCTATCATTTGGATGTGTAAGCCTAAAGTGTCCTTTAAGTTTCGTGAATGATTCTTCTTGTGCTCCACAGATGTAGCACTTAATGTCAATTAATCTTCTAATGAACTCTTCAGTTTCTGGATCATGCGCTGGATGCTTCCTGATTGATGGATCTGGATACTCAACGACTCGTCTTTTCCTCTCTTTTCTTGGCTGAGTCTTTTTGTATAGTTTTTCAGGTATTTTGTATTCAGTTCCATTGATTACGATTGATTCTAGTCCTGAATCAAGCATTTCTTGAGTTAGTTTTGACTTTGGAAGGTATCTGATCCATCCTGAGTCTGTTCTGTATGGTTTGATTGGAGATTCACCTTGGTTTAAGTTTGGATCTTCAGAATCTGCTCTTTCTGATTTTATGGCTAATGTTGAGGATGTTTTGTTGGACTTTGAGGTTAGGTTCGGTGATTTTGAGGTTCTGCTGCCAGATTTTGAGGTTAAATTGCTGGTTTTCTGCGTTTTTGAAGCTGATCTGTCAGCTAACTTGACATACTTGGATTTCATGCCTGGCAATGAGTAATCCTCATCAGATTCTTCAGATCTTTTCCTCTTTTTAGCAGGTTTGTTGACTATTTTTGCAGCTTTAGATTCAGCTTCCTCTTTATCCTTCTTTTTGTCATTTTTGTACTTCTCTAAATCCCAAACTTCCTCAATTTCAACATGAAACTTCTTCTCAGATGCTTCTGAAGAGTTGTCATCCATTGGATCGTCGTAGCTCCATGCAAAGTCAGAGTCATCGTCATTGAATCTATCGCTTATGTCTTGTTTTGTAGATTGACTCTTATCCAGCTTGTCTTGATTGTCATCGTACTGATGCTCAGCCATGTAATCCATGAGCACTTCAGGCTCCATTTTGATTCTTGGTAAGATAATTTGTGGTTCCATTTTAAGCATCAACTCATTCGATGCGATCAAGACTTGTTGGAATCCAGGTGCAATATCAAAGGAACTGTCTGTTTTGGTTGTGATGAGCTTTGTCTTGACATTTGTGAGGTATTTGTAGAAATTTTGGAAGGCTTTAAAGCAGTTCTTGCAGGTAAGTTGTGATGTGGATGTTGTGTATGGAGGAATGATCTTAAAAAGGAACAAAAGGTGAAGTTATTAAATTGAATCAATTCGAACAAGTCATCAAAGGAAGACATGATGCCTGGATTAGATTATTCAATTACTAGCATCGATACTCACATTGTACTGGATCTGTTGACGAATGGCATCTCCTAAACTTATATCACCTCCAACTGATTCTGTCAATTTTACTGAATTACCCTTTCGAAGTTGACTAAGGCATAGAATGCACAAAGACATTTTTGACTAATTTTGGTAATAAAGTCCAGGTATGGACTAGCTGCTGATCAGTTTTTGAAGATTTCTTTTAGAATTTTTGCAATGTTTACAAACATTTAATACGAGGGAGTGCTGACTGTGTGAATTATTGTTTGTTACTGAAAGAGGGTGAGAACCTTAGTGATTGAATAAATACCTAAATTTGTAAGAGAATTTTGTTGTTTTTATTGAGCATTGAGAATGAATGTTTTTGTAATTTTTATCTGTTGCTGAAATGTTTTGAGTTGCTTCCTGTGTTTTATGTGATTTTCTGAATCGCACAAGACGAAATATCGACCAGAAACCGGAACTAAGCTGGTGTGACTCTGAAATGGTGCTGGATGTAAATCTTACAAATTGTGCAACAGTGTTACTAAACCTTTAAGCACTGCAATTTAATTCTTAAATCTATATTAGGAACGCTAGTTCAGTGTATAATCTTCATTAAGCAGTTGTGTGTCCAGCAGCCAATTAAAAACTGTTTTTAGATTTTAGAACAAGTGTTCATGTCAGCTCTCGTTTTAATTTTCAGTAGGAAATTATCATTAAAGAACTCAAAAACAAAAACTGGAATAAGCGTCTCTCAGAGATTCAACCGTCAAACCAAACAGTTTGGAGAATAGCAAAATTTTGCAAAAAAGGTTCAAAAACAATGCCTCCATTGACAAATCTGGGTAAAACGTTCATCACCAACAAAGAAAAAGCCAGCGCACTCAGCGAGTATTTTCGTGAAGCTCACGAAAATCCTCTGGAACAAAACGATCCAC